AGTGGTTGTCAAGGGCTGAGGGTAGTGGGGAGGAAATGGGGAGTTACCACTAATGGATATGCAGTTTCTTTTGGGGTGATGAAAATATTGTGGAATTAGACAGTGGTGACTGATGTATAACTTTGTGAATATACCAAAAAACACTGAATTGCATACTTCAAGAGGGTCACGTTTGTGACACATGAATTATATCTCAATAAAACCATTTTTAAAATGTGGAAAAAGTACATTTTAGGATCAAGGAAAGATGGTCTATATTAATTTAAAGTCTGCCTTATTCCAAAGAGGACTTGAGCATCTTGTCATGCTGATTATTGTTAGAATCATTATCGTTATTTGTATGTTTGGTCTGTTTGTGGTTAGGTTTGGGCTGGGCTCCACCAGGATTAATTCTTAGCAGTAGTAGAACCACAGTAACCACTCAAACTTCATGGTACACGAAGTGCTCTCTTTTCCCAGGTTGAGCTCATTGACTAGGGGACTAAAAAACTGCTGCTGACATCTTGACTTTACCTTTCAGGGTTTTTAAAAGGCTTTATTGAGGTTTAATTGACATACAATAAATTGTACATATTTAAAGTGCACAGTTTACTGGATTTTGACATAAGTATACACTCATGAAACAATCACCACAATCAAAATAATGAATCATGCCCCAACGTTTCTGCAGGCCCCTTTGTAATACTTCCTTTCCTCCCTTTTTCCCCATTTCCAGATAACCACTGATCTGCCTTCTGTCACTATAGATTAGTTTGTGTTTTCTAGGATTTTATATAAATGGAGTCATGCAGTATTTTTTGGGGGGGCGGGGTCTGGTTTCTTTCACTCAGCATAGTAATTATTTTGAGATTCATCAATGTGTGTATCAATAGTCTGTTCCTTTTTATTGCTGAGTAATTTTCATCTATTGATGGACATTTATTTCCAGTTTTGAGCCATTACAAATAAAGCTGCAATGAACATTCATATACAGGGCTTCATATCATTTCTCCTGGGTAAATACCTACGAGTGGAATAGATGAGTTGGATGGTAAGTGTATGTTTAACTTTTTAAGAAACTGCCAAATTGTTTTCCAAAGTGGTTATGCCACTTTATATCTCTACTGGCAGTGTCTGAGAGTTCTAATACCTCACTTAGTGAGTCTTTTAATTTTAGCCATTCTAGTGAGTGTATAGTGGTGTCTCATTTTGGATTTAACTTGCATTTCCCAAATGTCTCATGATGTTGAGCATTTTCTTGTGCTTATTTGCCATCCGTATATCTTCTTTGGTCTGTTCAAGTCTTTTATCCATTTTTGAAAATTCAGTTGTTATTACTGAGTTGTAAGAGTTCTTTATGTAGTCTAGATACATATTCTAGATACAACTCCATTGTTAGATATGTTTTCTGAAGATTTTTCCTAGTCTGTGGCTTGCCTTCTCATTTTTAAATGTCTTTTGAAGAGCAAAAGTTCTTAATTTTGATGAAGTCCAATTTGTTGATTTTTTCTTTTATATTTCATGCTTTTTGTGTCCTATTTAAGAAATGTTTGCCAAATCCAAAGTCACTAAGATTTTCTCCAATGTTTTCTTCCTGAAGTTTTATCATTTTAGCTCTTACATTCAAGTTTATGACCCATTTTAGGTTAACTTTTGTGTGTTGTGTACGTAAGGGTCAATGTTCTCCTTCTTCTTTTTTAGTATATGGCTATCCAACTGTTCTAGCACAATTTGAACTGCCTTAGTACCTTTGACAAAAATCAACTGATCATCTACATGTGGGTCTATTTCTGAGTTCTCTGTTCTATTGATCTATATGTCTATCTTCACGCCATCACTACACTGTCTTGATTATTATAGCTTTGTCATAACTCATGACATCAGGCAGTAAACCCTCCAATTTTGTTCCTCCTCAAAGTTGGTTAGGCTATTCTACATCCTTTCACTTGTTTCTGTTTTTTGTTTTGTGTGAATACACAAGAATTATAGTTGGAAAATAATAAGGAAATGAAATCAAGAATGTAACTAAGAACAAGGAAAAAGACAGTACAACAACAACTACAAAAATCTGTGAAACGCCTCTCCTTTATAAGTGAACTCAGATTAAACATCTGAATGTACTACAACTGACTCATTTCTTTCACATAAAGAAATTAGTAAATTTACCTTTGAGAGACAGAGTAGCAGGGGTAGGGGTTTGGGGACCATGCTTTTAGGGGACATCTAGGTCAACTGGCATAACAAAGCTTATTAAGAAAATGTTCTGCATCCTACTTCGGTGAGTGGCGTCTGGGGTCTTAAAAGCTTGCAAGCGGCCATCTAGGATGCATCAATTGGTCCCATCCACCTGGAGTAAAGGAGAATGAAGAACACCAGAGACACAAGGAAAGTATTAGCCCAAGAGACAGAAAGGGCCACATAAGCCAGAGACTTCATCAGCCTGAGACCAGAAGAACTAGATGGTGCCCGGCTACCACCAATGACCGCCCTGCAGGGAACACAACAGAGAGTCCCTGATGAAGCAGGAGAAAGGCAGGGTGCAGAACTCAAATTCTAGTAAGAAGACCAGACTTAATGGTCTGCCTGAGACTGGAAGAACCCTGGAAAGCATGGCCCCTGGATTCTCTATCAGCCCAGAAATAAAACAATTTCCGAGGCCAACTCTTCAGACAGGGATTGGACTGGACTGTGGGACATAAAGTGATACTCATGAGGAGTGTGTCTCTTAGCTCAAGTAGATACAAGAGACTCAACGGGCAGCTTCTGTCTGGAGGTGAGATGGGAAGGCAGAGAGTGTTAAGAGCTGGTTGAATGGACATGGGGAATCAGGGGTGGAAAGGAGGAGTGTGCTGTCACAATATGGGGAGAGCAATTAGGGTCACATAAAAATGTATGTATAAATTTTTGTATGGGAGACTAACTTGAAATGTAAACTTCATTTAAACTACAACAATAAAAAAAGAAATTAGTAAATGTAGAAAAGTTGGAGTGGTTTGATAAAGACATTATATCTACATTCAAAGGAGTTGAGTAATACAAGGAAAAAAGGAGACCCTGGGTGACACAAATGTTAATGTGCTCAGTTGTTAACCAAAAGGTTGGAGGTTTGAGTCCACCTACAGGTGCCTTGGAAGAAAGGCCTGGCAATCTACTTCTGAAAAATCAGCCACTGAAAACCCTATGGTACAGAGTTCTACTCTGACACACATGGGGTTGCCATGAGTTAAAATCGACTCAACAGCAACTGATTTTATAGGGAGAAAAACTCCACTTTTAAAAGTTTTCTACCAACCAGGAGGAATCCAAGTGTTACCAGAGTTGTTCTGAAGCTTGAGTATGGGAAAAAGGAACTCTAAACTGTTCTCTTCAAGTTGGGTATGTTCTGAGCATTAAAAAAACATTATAATGTTTAGTGAAAAACTCAAGCTGAATAGTATGATCACATTTTTATCATAAGAAAAAATAAATAAAAATCTATTTGTGTGTATATTTTCAAGGAAAAAAACAAAGGTTACATAGCAAACTTAACACTGATTACCCCAGGAGAGTGAAAGTTGTAGCATAGAGAAGAAAGGCCTATTTTCTTTTTAGATCTCTAGGCTATTCCCATTTTTTTCCAACAGTTACTTTGTCATTTAAACAAAAGATTTTTTTTCAGAATTTTAATGGGTTTTGATATACACACAGTGATTTCAGTCACTGCCTCTAAGGTTCTTCATTTGTTCAAGCATGGGGCCAGCAGGGGCCAGCAAGAGCAGACCCAGGAGAATTTCTGTTCTTGGAAAAGCCCCACTACATAATCTAAAAAAAAAAAAATTTAATGACATTTTATGGGACATCTGTGTTTATTCTATAGATAAATGTGGCATGAACTTATTCCTCAAATGTAAGGTAAACATATACTTTCACATTTGACGCATCTGTATAAATTAAGCGGCCCTGGTGGCGCAGCAGTTAAGTGTTTGGCTGCTAATCAAAAGGTCGGCAGTTCGAATCCACCAGCAGCTCCTTGGAAATCCTATGGGACAGTTTTACCCTGCCCTATAGGGTCACTATGAGTCAGAATCGACTTGATGGCAACAAGTTTGGTTTTTGGTTTATATAAATAAATAAATATTAAAGTTTCTGAAATACCACATTCCATAATGAAAGCCGATAGCCAACCTGGTACATTTCTGAAAATGAGTTAAATTTTCTCTGATATTGCCTGAGAACACAGAGAAAAGCAGTCCCTTGCCCTTTTCTAATATAATATGCTTCAGAGAGTCAATGCTACACATGCTGGATCTGATCAAAAATGGCCAGAATGTTTTTTGCTATTAAGAAAAGGAACCTTGCTATTAAAAGTGTGGTCCATGGACCAGCAGCATCGGCAGCGCCCGGGAGCTTATTAGAAATGCAGAATCTCAGGCCCCATCACCGATCTACTGAATCAGAAACTGCATGTTTACAAGATCCCCAGGTGATTCCTATGCTGTAGACACAATTGTGGTGAATGTTATGGAACTTAAAAGTATGACAGAAGTCAAGGGAAAAAGCATAAATACATACATAGTTTTAAATTTAAGATAAATATTTTAAACGTTAATTTTCAGTAGCATAGTCCAGCACATTTTTTCTAAATATGCTACTAGAATCAAAGAAATAATGACAAAATTTCATTAAATCAAATAAAATAGCATCAAATGTTCTGCATAATTTAAAAACCCTGCCCTCCCCCCCACCACCAAAAAAAATTCTGGCCAATAGGCCCCTTTAGTACATTATTAACAAACCCAAAATTTTAATACAAAGAAAAGTGATGGATATTTTCTGGGACCTTATATAGGTAATTCATTCTAAATATTTTTTAGCTAATAAATGGAGACACTTTGAAACACAGCATTTGTTTAAACATACTACCTGCCTGCCTGGCTGTTTAATGGTGAAATAACTTAGTCTGTATGCTTTGGATGCAATTCAGACGCTACATAGATGTTAAGAAGCTAAATTAACATAAAATGTTTATCATGAAACATCACCTCACTTGATGGCTTCATTATACTTTTTCCATTAATATACTTGTAACCACGACCACCTTCAGCATGGAGAAAAATTTTAAACACGATGAAAGGTGGAAAATCCTCACCACTAAATCTGAAATAAAGACCAAAAATTAGTCATTTGGCATCAGATTTTAGGCTCAATTACTTCTCCTTGTACTTAAGAATTTGTATAGTTTATGGAATGCAAGGTAAAAGCAAGACTATTTATATTTTCAGAGCTATGCCAAAGCATATAAAGAACTGGTAGTAAAATGGATTACTAAAGATGAAGGACCCACACTTTTGTGTGCTCACAGCTATTTTAATACATGTGTCACACTGGACACATAATGAGCAATGAGAGCTACTCTCAAGGAAGCTTCTGGCAAAAGTCACGCCTCAGTTTATTCACATAACAAATGGAAATAACAACCTATTTACTTTATAATTATACCCTGAGAAATTACGAGGATTAAAAAAATAAATTTCTAAGATTTCTTCATATTAACTTAGTATTTCTTGAAATAAATCAGCATACCTGAATCTGACCTTATACTTCATGCTAGGATCTTTAATCAGCTTAGCCTCTAAGGGGCTCACTTTCTTTAGTATGTCATACGACACATGATGTTCCTGAAATAGATGATGGTGCAGTTAACAGAAAGGGGTACCCCGCCCAGACACAATTTACTGATTATAACAGAGGCACCATGGTAAAGAGAACAGTACACTAGACTTGGAGACCTGAAGACCTGGGTTCTAGTCTTGGCTCTACCACTTATTATCCATGTAGCCTTGAGTCATTTACTTGATCTTTTTGATACCCTAAGTCTGGGTATGTGTCCTTCCTTGATATCCCAGGCACTCCTCTTTCCCTATGACAACAGTCTTCACAATGTATTGTAATTATCTGTAAATTTCTCTGTACTAGACTGTAAACTTGTTGTACTAGACTGTAACCCTCATGAATGTTGGGACAGTAGCTTTCTTATTTACCATGTATTCCTAGAATCTAGTACAGTGCCTGGAACACAGCTGGTGCTTAATAAGTATTGGACATTGAATGAATCACTATAAAATGCAGATGATAAAATAAGTTACTAGCGTTAAAGTACCTTTTATGTGCCAGATCCTTGTTACCCACTGACCCACTGCCATCGAGTTGATTCTGACTCATACAGACCCCATAGGGTTTCCAAGGCTACAGAAGTAGACTGCCACAACCTTCTCCTGCAGAGCCACTGGTGGTTTCGAACCACCGACCTTTCGGTTAGCAGTCAAGCGCTTTAACCACTGTGCCACCAGGGCTCCTTAGATCCTACATTAGATGCCTTATAAACATAACCTCATTTAATCTTACAACTCAGCAACACTGTTAGAACATTATCATTTCCATTTTACAAATGAGAATGCTAAGGCTCAGGAAGTTTTAGTAACTTATCCAAAAGGCACACAGGTAGTAAACGGAGGAGGATTCAAACTTAGAACTGTTTGACTCAAAATCCACCACTCTTTTCCCCATATGACCCCATCTGACCTTTATGCTTATGACAATCACATAAAAATATACACTAAAAGGCTTTTAAAACCACAAAGCATTATTAATGTAAGGTAGTAACACGAAGCAGGATAACAGATGAAGAAAAAGTATTAATTTCTTTATGTTACTAAGAGAGTCTGACACTTACAACTAAACCAGTATTATAATAATTAAATATAAGTCCCAGATGGGAAGACAATGGACATTGGACCTGAAATGTCAATAGTTTACTTGGGTGGGTTTTCTCTGAGGCATTCTGCGTTTACTAACATCAGAAATAGGTCTGTGGATCAGATGGTGAAGAAGTGTACCCATTACTCAGACTTCGTGATTTTTCAGAGTTGCTAAAATTCCCTTAATGTGAGTGTCGATAATAGACTACTAGAATTATGGGTTATTTTATTAGAAGTATATTTGATATTATATCAAGAAAGGCTCAATGCTCTGCTGGGGTTGCCAAATTGTTTCTCTGAGGTGGGGGGGCATGTGAAATTTTTGTTCACTCAAATAGGATCATATTATTCATACTGTTCTGCACTTGTCTTTTTCAGTAATGAAATATCTTGGATATCTTTCTATTGCAGAATCACGTAAATGGCTGCAATGTTTAATACTATAAAAGCACCAACATTTATTTAACCAGCATCCTATCGGTGGACTTTATATGGCTTAATTTTTCTGCTTTTACAGGCATGCTACAATGAAATTGTACATATATTGTAGAATGGATTCCTAGAAGTGACATTGCTGGGTGGAAGGTAAGAGTACTTTATTTATTTTAGATCCTATATTTTATTTATTTATTTATTGTGCTTTAGATAAAAGTTTACAGAGCAGATTAGTTTCTCATTAAACAATACATACATTGTTTTGTGACACTGGTTGCCAAGGTAAGGGTACTTTTAATTCAGAGACTTTTATTGTTGTAAGATCACTGTATCACACCTTCAAATAAAGAATCAAATTGTTTAAAAAGAACCCAGTATATTATTTTCAAAAATGAAATAAGTCATCCATATTAAAAATAAACCCAGAAATATTCATTTATAACTAATAAAAGAAACAATCCCAGAACCCTGTTATATTATTAGATCCAAACAGAAGAAAGAAAGAAGGTGATGTATTCTGTTTTTAATTAATAGATCTTTTAGCTTGATAATTAATTAAATCTGTCAGAAAAACAAAAAGCAGAATACATACCGCTGCACAAATTGTGTGTTTTAGGAGCTGAAACATTGTTTTGGCCGTGTGAGAAAACCATGCATACTGTATTATTTGAGCTGCAATATCTTTATCAACACTGAGAGAAAGAAAAAGAGGTTAAGATTTATAAAGTAATTCTCATTTTCCTAAAATCCTAGGGATTTATGCTTCCTCCTCCTACACCTCCCCACCCCCAACTCCAAAACTGACCTAATGAGAAATATTTGGATGTGCTAATTGGAACTGGTCATTTGCAGAGTCTAGTCAGAATGAGGATATGAAATACTAGAGAATAGCTCTCTTGAGACTTAAAAAAAAAAAAAAAAAAAACCCTGACCCAAACTTTATCATCAAAAGGCATAATATAAACAAAAAGTGTGAGACAAATTTGACTTCTAAAAACCTCCATGACCTAAAATGATTCAATTCCTGGTTAGATGTTAATAATACTGTCCAACTAGTTCAAGTGCTATGAAAATGAAATGTGGAATAGTTCTAGGTTATAGTAGGCCCAATTCTCTTTCTGGAGCAGATGATCATGCCCTAGAAAAAGAAACTCCCTCTCTGAATCTTTGCTTGAACCAGTCTTTTTGGCAGTCAGGTCAGAGAGTTTATTCTACTTTTGATCATGTCCCAGCACTGGCAGATTGTCATTACCCCCCCCCCCCCATGAGGCTACATGCAAAGAGAGGTACTCCTGCATAATGCCACCGTTTTCTGGCAAAAAGCAGAGTACAAAATGTAGAGTAGAGAGGGCCTTTAGTATGGAAACAAACCTTTGAAACCTAGCTGATGTCATTTATTAGCTGTATAACCTTCTGCAAGTCACTTAACTTCTCCCAGTTGGTGCTTCCTCACTTATAATATGTAATAATAAGATTGCTTCACAAGGTTTTATTAGGATCAAAAGAGATGTGTGTTAACATGCTTTGTAAATTATGAGATACTACAATTATGATAATTATTATTAGATATAAGAAAGTAATTTAAAAACACAAAAAACTCTAATTTACAAAACAAGAAGTGTTTGAAGTTACCTGGGTAAATACTATTTGGAAACCATCCAGTATTTTGACACAAGGCAAAAGATGGGTACTTACTTTGTCTTCTTTACATTTTGCACATTTGTTTTCTGGTCTTTTTCTGAGCGTTGGTTATCTGATTTTGGAACACCAGTACCTGGTGGATCTGAGGAAGAACTCATTTTCCTTAAATTTCTCACATTTGTTTTCGGGCATTTTTCTGAGCGTTGGTTATCTGATTTTGGAACACCAGTACCTGGTGGATCTGAGGAAGAACTCATTTTCCTTAGATTTCTCACATTTGTTTTTGGGCCTTTTTCTGAGCATTGGTTATCTGATTTTGGAACACCAGTACCTGGTTGATCTGAGGAAGAACTTATTTTCCTTAGATTTCTCACATTTGTTTTCGGGCCTTTTTCTGAGCGTTGGTTATCTGATTTTGGAACACCAGTACCTGGTGGATCTGAGGAAGAACTCATTTTCCTTACAATGAAGGAATCTGAAAGTACATAAATTAATCCTTTAAGGTCATGATCTATATTACTACATTGTTTGGACTAGACTCAAGTGCCATATGATTATTGTGCTAATTCTAGAATGCTTTAAAAAAGGAAAGCATCGTGGATCTCTTAATGTTGCTTACAGTTTACATTCTTCATGTACTAAAAATATTATATGGTATACGGAAAAAACAAGTGGATCTATCAGTAGCCTTCTAACTGGTCTCCCTGTCTCCAGTCTCTTCCTCCTCCTATTCATCCTCAACACTGCAGCTGGAATCAATTTTTTAGAGCAGTAATTAAACCTTATCACTTACCAACTTAAAATCTTTCAGTGACACCTCATTTCCTCCAAGCTAAAGCCCAAACTCCTTAGAATGGAGTTTAAGTCTTTTCACAACTTTGCTCCATTCTCTCTTTCAATTTTAAAATACCAACTTTCATCAGCCGCCCTCTATATACTCTGAAAGAACCAAGAACTTCTTGCCAAAATCAGTCAACGTTTTACATCTTTGTACCCCTGATCTTGCAATTTCCTCTACTTAGAATGACCTCCCTACCACAAGCAAATACTAACTCATCCTTTAAGACCCAGCTAATTGATGCCTCTTCTTTGAATTTTCCACTTTCTCTTTTTTTACAGAACTACTTGCTCCTGTCTCCAACGTCCAATTATATTCTGTACATACTTCTTTTACTTCTCATAGTGCATTAAAATTTGTTTTCTTGGCTGTTACCCCGACAAGCTCATTGAAGGCAGGAGGCATATTACTAACTATGGAATACCCAGTGCCTAACAGAGTGGAAGATTTTTACATGCTTGTCTGAAAATGTTTCATATGGCTTTTATCACCAAATAGCTGTGAGACTTGGAGCAAGTTACTCAACCTCTCAGTGGCTCAGTTCTCTCCTTGGTAAATTCAGAGGGTGTGTACTAAATTATCTGATTCCATATCCAACTTTCTAGCCTTTGAAGCATTAATCCAATTTGGATGCAGGTTCTAAATTCTTAGTCGCTGCTTAATCTGTTCTATGAAACCAGGGGCTCTTTACCTTTTAGTGCTATGAATCCCTATGGATAGACACTTTCTAAGAATTATGTTTTTAAATGCATAAATAAAATACATAGGATTACAAAGGACTCCAATTATATTGACATCATTGTCAAAATATTTAAAAAAACAAAATTATGATAAAGCAATGTGCCTTCTCTGTTTATGCATTAAATAAAATGGGAGATCTAATAACTACTGTACTTTCAAAGCAGTAATGAGCATAAATATTTCAAGATATCTGCCATGACTGTAATATGATATAAAAATATCTGTGTTTTCTACTGATGACAAAAGTGACAGGTACTGCTAATACTACTGTGCTTTGTTGTCTACTCCATAACTGAAAGAAATGCTAAAGTTCAGTTAGAGGTTAGTGAAAGTAAAGTTGTAATTTTTTCCCCATCCAAGTTCACACAACCACCGAATTAAGAACACTTGCACTAAGTTATCATTACGCTTTACACTCTTATATATGTATGAGATTACATTACCAGTGCAGAGCCTTTAGTCTATTCAATATTTCTCCTTAGGGATGAGGATGACTTAGAATATACCATTCTCCTGAGAAAGAGAAAAGCAGCCCTTAATATCTGAAAGCTGGCCTGACGCTTACAGCTGGGCCTCAGTGTTACCCACACTTCCTGATAGCACCCAATCCAGAGCAAAGTCTGCTTCTTTGAACTCATCCACCCCCAAATCACCCAACCAAAGCCCAAATCCTATAATAAATCTAACACCTTCTTAACTGGGATGTCCCACTCTTCCCCAAAGTGTGCGTTCTCCCTCACAGCTATGAGAAAATAAACCCAACTTGTTCAACTACAGGTATATTCCTAGTGGTCTTTGGTTGGAGGGCAGTGGCATGTCACTGCACACCTTCCGAATCTACTGAATGCCTGCCTAGATGGGACTCACACTTTTTATCGGATTAGGATGTGACATACAGAATATGAACTACACCCCAATTATGAAACAGCATAACAATTCTTTAGGCTAGAACACAAGCTTTAAAGCCAGACTGACTGGGTTTGGATCCTGGATACTACTTTCCATCTGTGTGGCCTTATGCAAGTTTCTTCTCTATGTCTTAGTTTCCTCAGCTATAAATTGAGAATAATAATCGTGCCCACCTACTTGGGTTGTTGGAAAGATTAAATAAACAGATATCAAAGGCTTAGCTCAGAGCTGGGTACACTCTGCTATTCTTGTTAATAAGATTATTACCTTTACAAACATGATTCCTAGTGAGGAGCTTACATTTAAGTATCTTAAAAAGAAAAAAAATGCCTTTCACGACTAAACGGAGTAGCAAATTCGTTTAAATTTAAAATCTTAGAAATGACAAGCCCACTGTAAAAACCTGAAAAGCTTTGTGAGGTAAATCCAGACCTCTGAGGTTGGCGGCTTCCGGCTGCGAAGCTTCTGAAGCTGCCAGAAACCCGCCGAGCGCCCCCGCCCGGCAGCCTCCGCGCACAGAATTCCCGGCCCACACCTCCAGGTTCCCAATGGCGGCGGCGGAGAAAGCCGACGCCCGGCGCCTCCCTCCGCGCGCCCCCGCGTTCTTCCCACACTGAACTGCGCTTTCCCGTTGCCTAGCAACAGCCGGCGCTGGGGCGGAGCCTCGAGGAGGGCGGGGTTTGTGTTCGCTCGCTGTCGGGCCGTGACTCACTGCAGCTCAAAGACTTTGCTTCTAGCCTGGGGTGGTTAGCTAAGCCTTCGCCGGATCTAGTCGGCAGTACTGCCATCACCCGCACCGCAGTCGTTTCGCGGTCGGGGGAAGCCGGGCCCTACCGGGCCGCCGTAGCTGCCTCTCTGTAGTGGGCGGGGCCGAGGCGGGGGTGACCCCGCCGGAGCCGCGGCTGCCAGCAACATGTTCAAGGTGAGAAAACGGAGCCAGGTCACTGCCCTCTCCCGGCCGTACGGAACTCTCCCCGCGCTCTTGTGGGCCTCTTCGGGGACCAGACCCCTGCTCGCCCAGAGAGTTTTTCCGCCTCCGGGCTGGCTGTGTCCCGGCGCGCGGTTCATTCACCGGTCCGCGTGGGGCGGAAGCTCGAGGCTGCCGCCGCATCCGTGGCGCGCGTGGGGAGTCCTAGGCTGGGACCGAGGCTCGCGAAACCCTGGGTTGGGTGGGGGCGGCCATTTGAGTCCTACTCTGGTGAATAAAACATTTTTGAAAAGTCAAAGTATCTTGCCTGGTGCCCGCGCAGAAGCGTGGGTAATGGGTAAGGTGGAGGCCAGCACCGCGCACTGCAGGGCTCGGCTTTGGTGGCCAGACCGGGTCAGGTTTCAGAACCAGGTGTGTGTGGGGGTGGGGGAGGGTCACCTACGGAGAAGGTGCTGCAGGATGTGGGGGAGGCTGACATGGGAATAGCTGGGTGAGGAGGAAAACGAGCTTTGCTCCGCTCCGCAATGAACTTAATATAGACAAGTCGACTCCCTTTACATTTTATGAACTCGTGTCGTTTGGAAAAAATTGACTTTTATAGTGAAAACTTTCTTGTGAAAACCTGCCTTTTAACATAAAGCTATTATTCTACTATGTTTAAAAAAGTAGGTGATATTTTTGGTCATGGAAAACAAAGGTTACCAAAAATAAATCTACAAAACTGAGTCATCAGGTAGGACTCGTAAAATAGTACCAATGAGACCTCAAAATTGTATCAGTGATTTATTATTTTGCATGAGCTGTGGGTAGGGCATCGAACCGGTTCAGTCATGGCTGACGAAGGAAAATTGGAACAGACCCGAATTTTTTAAAACTTGGGTGAGGCAGAACGGAAAAATTACGGGTAGAAGCCCTGGAATGGGAGACTCAGAAGAAGCAATGTGAGCCCTTACAGGAGCATGATGTGGGAGATTGAACTATTGCCAGGACTATGGAGAGCAACACATTCAGAGCGGTGCAGTTGGCCGCCATCTTTGAGCTGGCATGGCTGTTTCCAACTTCTGCGGTCGAGATTTAGTTGTTTATGCACTGCGCATGCTGTCCTTGTTTTCTGAGAGAGAGATTAAGTTTCTAGCAGGGCTTTAAACAGTAATTTTTCCCATTCTGCTTATCGTTCCGCTTCACCTACATTTTAAAAATTAGGGTCTGTATAGGTTTCATTTCATCGGCCATGACTGAACCAGGCAGAACTTGTTCGGAGTCCTGTCTTGGGTTGGCTGGGCAGTTCTGCTAGTGTCCCCCAATGGCTGAATTCAGTGGTGACTGGAATGAAAGGTGGCATTACACATGTCTGGGTACTTGGTGCCCCTCCATGTATCTAGCTTGGGCTTCCTTGCGTGGTTGCTGGGCTCCAAGAAATCAAGTCCCAATGTGCAAACACTTATAAAGCCTCTACTTGCATCACATTTGCTGATGTCACAGCAAGTCACATGGCCAAGCTCAGAGTCAGTGTGGGGGGAGTACACAAGGGTATGGTTACCAGGAGGTGTGGTTCATTGGGGGCCATTAATTTATAAGCTTCTATAGCAGCAAACTAGCAGTACGTGTTACCAATAGAAGTCACAGTACCAATGCACATTACAGTTGTTGCAGATCTCAGTGTATCATTTATTCTCATTACTACTTCAAAATTACAGTAGTTACGAGACCCACTGCTAGATCTTTGTATTTAATGAGCTAATAAGGAAACACATATATCAGACATTTGGGTTTTAAGAGTATTTTTGTAACTATTTCAATATAATCAGTATTTTATGCAATTAGAAACATTAGGAGGGGTCCATAGGGCTCAACAGACTGCCAAAGAGGTTCATGGCACAAAAAAGGCAAGGAACTTGGAGTCTTCAGGAAAACCTTCACAGAGGAGACATTTAAATTTAGTTTTGAAAGACAAGTAGGAGTTTTTCAGGTAGATGTGCTGGAGAATATCATCAGCAGTGATACTCCATTGGGGGAGTGCTGGTGGCTCTGTTCTGCTTTGTCAAGGGAGAGATACAGTGAGCTGCAATTATTCCAAGTGAACATGTAGTTTGGGTAGAAAAGATCACAACAAGCCTTGAACACCAAAATGTAAGGAGTAGGCAGAGGAAGAGGGGAGATTAGAAATGGAGAAGCAACTTTTGAGAAGTAGACGTAGGAGCAGAAGAGAGTGATGTTTAGAAAATCAAGGGAGGGAGCTGCTAACAATGGAAAACCTGACTGCTTGAAATAATAAAAGGATCTCACATAAAGTCCAGAGGAAAGGTGGGCTCCAGGCTCATTACAGTGGGTCAACAATGTCATCAAAGACTCAGTCTCTTTTCTTGGCTTTCCACAGTAAAATTGGTTCGCCTCATGGTTGCAGAATGACTGACAGTAACACACATGCTTTCTTATTCACTAGAAAAAGGGAGAAAACTCCCCTAAGCTTGGATTATGCCCTTGCTTACACATGGAGTCTCCAAGTGAGTCAGACGGAATCAATTCCAGGGCAACTGGTACTGTTAAGTCTGATTGGACCAATTTAAGTCAGGTGTCTGTTCCTGAACCAATAACAGAATGCTGTGTTCTGATTGGCTTAAATTAATCAGGCTCAACTCCTTGGGATGGAGTCACTTTACCTTAATCATGAACATAATGGAGTGGTTAAGAGCTTGGCTGCTAACCAAAAGGTAGGCAGTTCAAATCCACCAGCCAGTCCTTGGAAACCCTACTGGGCAGTTCTGTTCTGTCCTATAGGGTCGCTGTGAGTCAGAATCAACTCAACGGCAACGGGTTTGGTTTTTTTTTTGTTTGTTTGTTTAAGGAAGGAAGAGGGGGAATGGAGGCTAGATGTGCAACCAACAATACCCATTACAGAGAGAGAAGTTAGATGAGTTCAGAGAAGCGTTCATTGACTTGGGCAATTTTGAAAACTTTTGTGGTCTTTATACTTTACAGTGATGGAGTTGAAGGCTATATTAACAGGTTGGTGGCTGAAATAAGAGTAAACAGACAGAATGATGGCTGATAAGCTTGACTATCAAGAGAAGGAGCGTAGGTAACTAGAGGGAAATGTTGGGTCAAGGTTCTACAGTTGTTTTTTTTGTGGTTGTTAAGATATTCTTCGGAAGACCAAAGAAGAATCGATGCCTTTGAATTACAGTGTTGGCGAAGAATATTGAATATACCATGGACTGTCAAAAGAACAAATAAATCTGTCTTGGAAGAAGTACAGCCAGAATGCTCCTTAGAAGCAAGGATGGTGAGACTTCATCTCACATACTTTGGACATGTTATCAAGAGGGACTAGTCCCTGGAGAAGGAAGGACACTGTGCTCAGTAAGATAGAGGGTCCGTGAAAAAGAGGAAGACCCTCAGTGAAATGGGTTGACACAGTGGCTGCAACAATGGGCTCAAACATAGCAAGGATTGTGAGGATGGCCCAGGACCTGGCAGTGTTTCGTTCTGTTGTACATAGGGTCGCTATGAGTCGGAACTGACTCAATGGCACCTAACAGCAACAAGATATTCAAGATTTGGCAGTGTTTATTGTCTAGGAAGGAGTGTGTAGAACTGGAGCTTTTACGAGAGAGAATCCCTTAGCTTTAAAGGGAGGAGAGAGATTTCCTCCTGGAAGATGGAAGGAAAGAGGAAGGGTGGGATTTTAGACCAGTGATTCTCAGCTGGAGTGGTACCACCCCTTTAGGATACATTTTGGAAACTTGTGAGGTTGTGCTTTACGCGTTTTATTGTACCGAGCATTTATATACTGAAATATATTTATTATAAATCTTTCCTTTTGGCTCTCTTTTATGTTACTGTCAAATCATTATACTGATTTTTTTTTAACTTATGTGTGTAGGTGGGTGATGTTATCTGTGAATTTTGTTTCGGGATAGCAAAAGAGTTACAAAATATTTGTCATAAAATGAAGGTTTAGGTCTAGTATCGCTGAGAACCAGTGCTTCTCAAATTTTAATGCGCACGCGACTCTTATTAAGATGCAGAGTTTGATTCAGTAGGTCTGGGTTGAGGCATCAGATTCTCCATTTTTTAACAAGCTCCCGGGTGATGTAGGTGCTGCTGGTCCCAGATCACACTTTTAATAGCAAGCGTTATTAGGTAAATTGGTAGATGGATGGTTTCTTGTTTTTTTTTTGAGGTGGTAGTTTTATGAATGAGGTGGGATTTGGAAGCAGTAGCTGACCAAGGAACAAAAAGATAGGCAAGAGGCTTTGAGGGCTCCGCTGAGAGCTGCTACCGCAGGTCTGTGCTGATCCTGAATGATCGCAGCCTGGGAGTGGGGATGGAGCAAATGGTAGGATGATATGGTTTTGGAGTTAACAGCTTGGTTCAACTAGGATTGGAGGGAAAGGAGTTAACGGTATAGGTTTTGGTTGAAAAAGTACAGTGTGTGTGACTAGTTACATGCACATTTAATAATTTAACTGTAACCATTGTTTTGATTTAGCTATTCATCTTCAGATCAGTAGGGGGCACCAGAGGATAACAAAACTCATTTGAAAACCTGCCCAGTATTTGCTTTCTATTGTAGGAAGCAGATTTTCAGTGTGCTGCTGCAGGAAGGTTGAATATTGAGTACATAACACCGAGTCCCCAGATGCACATCACTGGCGTGTTCAAATGAAAAGACCCAGTCCTCATTAGGAGAGAGTTCCTAAATTTGACTACACATCAGAATTTTTTGAGAAGAGAAGTGGTTTCCAGGGCCCTGCCCATGTTTCTGATTTAGTGTTTAGGTGGAGTCCAGGACCTCTAGTTTTGGAAAGCGCTCCCCAGGTGATGGTGAAATGTTAGATTTACCTGGGGAACTTTTTAAAACTCCCTACACCGGGGCTGCACCCCAGACCAATTATATCAGCATATCTAGGGGTGGATCTAGGCCTCCAGTGTTGAGAGCGCCTGGTATTTACATCATGCAGCCAACCTTGAGAACCGCTGACTTAGAGGAA